CGTGAACGGTGTTAGATTCGTATGTGAACAACGAGATGAGAGTCGTAAGACACAAAATAGTGGGGTGATGATAGTGGCAAACGACGTGTCATACTACGGGGTTCTACTACAAGTTGTAGAGTTAATTTATTCAGAAGCAATGTCAGTCGTGTTGTTTAAGTGTAGGTGGTATGACGAAGAAAATACAAAGTTAGATCGTGGTCTAATTTCGATTGATACAAAGACCGATTGCTACAAAGACAGCCAATTTTGTCTCGCCTTACATGCAAAACAAGTATTCTACGTTGATGATCCAATGTTTGGTAACGGTTGGAAAGTTATTCATCACATGTTTCATAGAGGTACATACAAGGCGATTACACTTGCACGAAACACAAATGTCGGTCCACTTTATGAGGTAGAGGAACCGTACCAAGAGCCCGTGACTACCACCATTCCCATAAGTGAAATTTTTTGTCGACATTGGTCCTACACCACGTATTGATATACCAAATGATGATGATGAGAACGATGAAGATTACAACGAGGAAGAGGACGAGGACGATGAGTATTACAGTGACGACGAGGAAGAGGACGAGAACGATGTACTTGGAATCAACGATGATACAGATTCAGATAATGATGTTAACGAGTTTCATAATATTGGTGATGAATATCACCATGACCCGGATTATTGATTAAAGGTTTTATAATATAGTATAGATTATTCGCGCAATACGACGAGACATATCTCGATTTTAATGTTCTATTTGTCAAATATTTTATAATATAGTATAGATTATGTGCTTTTAAGAAAACAATAATGATTTTATTTTTAAATAAAATATAAATTTGAAAATATCACAAAAATTTGAAAAAAGTTATATTAATGTTAATGTCAAATCAACTATAAATTTGAATATATCGTAAAAAATGATTTTTAAAATTTTTTTGTTACTTTATAATATAATATATATAGATTTTTTTTAAATAAATTTTTTAAAACAATTTTTTTCCCCAAAACCCTTTTCCCCCTAAAATTTTATTTTCCCCCTTTT